AATTTGCCGTTTTGATCTGTTGCTCCCATTCTTGAATCTGTTCCTTACTTGCTGAGGCACTTAATTCTTCAAGAGCCTGGAAGCTTTCAGAGAGCCCGAGTTTTGCTCGCTTCCACTTCTTGCAAAGGCTACTCACTTGACGTTTATTAGCTTAGAAGCAATGTAAAAGCAGTTGAAAATAGATACCCATATTGATCATTTTTTTCCAGTTATTATCCAGCATGTGAGCATCCAACACCTCCGATCTATGGGCCAAAGTCATTGTCCGGGTGGTGCGACCGACCTCGTTGAGAACAGCCCACAAAGTCTCCAATATCTCTCCATCTGTTTGACTGGCCCCGGGGATGAATGTTGGGGCAAATCGTGGAAAGCATATTTCTTGATGGCCATGGACATGGAATAAGCCGATCCCGGCTACCAATAACAAGTCTGGTCTGATCCAGAGGTGTTTCGCACCACGTTTTATCCGAGCCATCAAATTCACCATATACTGGCAGTTGATGTCATAGACAAAAATAACCCTTTTTTCTTCACCGGTCATGGTATTCTTCAGAGCCTGGCACAAGGCATAGTCCATGTTCATTTGCCTGTTCGGTAAAACAACGATTCAACCTCAGGATAACTTCCATACCTTTCTCCCTTTTGAAAATCTACCACCGAACCCGGACAAAAGGTGCCATGTCGAAGGCAAGCAATGGCTCCAATTCCAGTAGTGTCAAAACCTCGGTGAAATACATTCTTGTTGTTGATAGCATTGTGCTCATGACATGTCCTCGGCTGAAAGATTCAGACACCGGCCGAGTCGCTCGAAGGATAAAAACTTACATCATTATCTTCAATTGCCTCCCGAAGGTGGCTCAAATAAGGTCCTCTTTGCGTCATGAAACTATCCCCATTTTTAAGCCAAACATCATCTTTGGGCCGTGCCTGTTTTTGGTGGGCTGCTGTGAAATTGCCATCGGCTACAAATCCTCTGGTATACTTCCAGTTAGTAGGATCATTGGGGTTTTTGTTCCAGTCATCAGG